GGGTCTCAGGTGGTTTTTTTTTTGGGAAGCTGGATCCCATCTGAGCTGTTCCTGGGCTCCTGGGTCCCTCACAGCGTGGCAGCTCCAAAAACTTGTGACATCCACGTCTGAAGCCTCCTGTCAGGCTCAAATGGCTGCAGGGAGGGACCTCCAGCTGACCAGGGTACCAACCGCTCATCCTCCCTCCTCACCTGCCCTTCCCCATTTGCCACAGGCCCAGTGAGGAGATGGTGAAGATGGTTCTGAGCCGCTTTTTTTTTTCACCACCAGCATCCTGCGCCACTGGTGCATCAAACACGATGACCTCCTGGCCGAGCACATCAAGTCGCTGCTGATCAAGAACAACAGCCTGCCACGAAAACGCCAAAGGTGAGGGGCCGGGGCAGGGACAGCATCTCCCGCTGCTTCCCCTGGGGTCACCCTGTCACTGGGAGCCCAGGGGACAAACCCAGCCTTGTCCCCTGCTCCGTGCACCAGCCAGGCAGCCAACATGCCATCGGCACAACGTGGACGTGCCAGCCCATCGTACCGGTGACGCCGTCGTCTCCTCGAGGCCGCTGCCAACCCAGGCGCTGGCGCGCAGGCAGAGCCCGAGCGAGTGTCTGGGCCCCGGAGCTGTGCGGGTGGCAGCTCTTTGATGTCACCCACGCTGGGATCCAGCCAGCCCGACCCTTTTTAAGCCGAGCCCATTACCCAGGCTGCGTGGGAAGCGTTCTCAGCTGCTCGTGGGAGCGATGCCAAGGATTTGGTTGCTCCCCTGCTGTAGTGCTGACCAGGCAGAGACCCCCCCCTCTGCTCAACCCCACTGTGCCCATCTGTTTCCAGAGCATCTTCTGCTGTAAATAGTCTTCCAGATGTGGTTCACTTTATCTCTGCTGGGATGCTGCTGGCTCTGGGGTGGATGGGGTCAGGGTCTGTCAGTGCACTGGGTCTAAAGGACACAGCTGGGTTAAGTGGAGGTGAAATCCCAGCTCCTCAGGACAAGGTTCCTGATCTCCTGCCTTTGGAGAGGGAAGGGGCAGAGAGCTCGTTCCCGGCCACCCTGCATGGGCTGAGCTCTGGGTGCTGGAGGAGGTGCTGGACCTCACCCCTGCAGGTGTGGGAGAGGAAGGGAGAGTGATACGGGCTGCTGCAGCTCATCCTGCAGCCCTGTGCCGGCTCCTGGCCAGGGTGGGACATGGGACACCTCATCCCAACCCCAAGATGTCCCTCAACAAAGAGTCAGGAGTTCTCCCTGCCTGTTATCCAACCTCAAAGACCAACAGCAGGCTGCGAGGCAGCGTCTGCCCTCGGCACAGCCATCACCTACCGGGTCACAGAGCCCCTCGGTGCCAGGCTCTGGGTCAGGGGGAGAGGAGGGTGGTCTCCTCCAGCAGCCCCCAGCCCGCTGTGCTGGGATCACTGGGATCCTCTGCGGCCCCTTCCCGGCTGGGTGCCCGCAGCCCTTTGCTGGAGTCAGAAGGACATCTAGTGTCCTGGGGAAGCAGAGCAGCACCGTGCTGCCACCGCAACGAGGGCTGCGTGTCCCCAAGGACCCCCACCCAGCACCCAGGGAGCTGGGCCACGGCCAGCAGGTTGGACGGGACCTTTGCTGGGAGGTTCTGGCTGATGCTCCCGGTGTCCCACAGCTGCTCCCAACGGCATCTCGACCACCTTTGGGTCCCCCCAACTCTCTGAAGAGGCTGTTGGGGAACTCTGTGCCTTCATCTGTTCCTCCACCTTAATTAATGGCCTAACAAGGAGTTCTTTGCCCTGTGTTGCTGTTCCGGATCCGAGCCCCATCCTGCTCTAATCCCCGCTAATTAACGAGCTGCCAGCTGAGGCACCGCGGGTGCTGACACCATCCTGCAGCCAAGGCTCAGCACAGGGCACTTGGTGCTCCCCAGAGCTGCTGGGGATGGAGGTGACCAGCACCCTGCGCAGGATTGATCCCCTCAACCCCTGGGCTGGAGCAGCACACGCAGCCCAGTCCCCGGGGATCCTGTGTGTGCCAGAGCTGGAAAATGGATCCCACGCTGCTCTCCATCCCTGGGCACCTTCTGCTCCAGCCTCTGGGTGCACCCTGGGACAGGGTTATCTGTGCCCCACATCTCCTTGTGTGGTTGGGGTGCTGCTGCAGGGCCGTGGCACTCAGTCCCCCCACAAGTGGGGGTTCCTGTCTTTGTGGGGCACAAGCTGGGGGTGGGTGGGAGGAGCAGGGTGAGCACTAAAAGCTGCTGTTCCTCTGTCCTCAGCCTGCGCAGCTCCAGCAGCAAACTGGCCCAGCTCACCCTGGAGCAGATCCTGGAGCACCTGTACAACCTTCGCCTCAACCTGACCAACACCAAACAGAACTGTACGTACCGTGCGCAGCCGGGGCTGAGCCGCTGCCCGTCACCGGTGGGTGCCCCTGTCCCTGGGATGCTCTGGGATACTGGGA